ACGCACACCTGACCCTGCACACCGGGCGACCTCCCAGTCCCTTTCCTCCAGCTATTACCTTCTCGGGGCTCGGGCTCAGTGCCCCGGAAGCGGCCAGCGGCACGGGCATCCACCACTTGGAAGCTCCGGGACTCCAAGTTCTCCTTGATGTCCTCGAACGTCTTGATGAAGGCAGGGTCGAGCTCGGCGCGGAACTCGGCGGGCACCGGGTGGCTCTTGCCGGAGCCGAGCGGAAGGCCCAGGTGCTGCCAATGACGGAGGCCACCGTCAAGCAATGACACGGCGCGATGGCCGAAGGCGCGGAACATCCACCAGACGCGTGGCGCTGCGTAGAGACCCTGCTCGCTGGCGTCGTAGACCACAACATGCGTGGCGGCGCCCACGCCCAGGTGGCCAACGTACTCGGCGAAGTACGCCTCGCTGGGCATCATGTGGTCGTAGGGCGACGTGCGGTCGCTGCACTGGTCCAGGTCGAAGAAGGCGGCGCCTGGGATGTGGCGCTCCTCAAACTCGCGGCGCGCGTCGCGGCCCATCTTTGGCAGGTACCAGGAGGCATCCAGCAGCTGCAGGGGTGGCCCAGCACGCGGTGCCCGCAGCGCCTCGGCCACCCACTGTGCCGACACGAGCGCACGGAAGAGCTGCTGTGGGGCCATGGCGGCGGCACTCGGGCTGCAGGCCTGGGCGACAGGGAGGTGTCAGGAGGGACGCCAGGGAGGGGCCGCCCCAGGCTGGGAAACGCCCTCTTAGCTGGGAAAGGGGCAGGGTTGGTGGGGGAGGTGGAGCCCAGGGAGGGCAGAGTCCAGAAGGCAGAAACCCAGCTGTGGTGACCCTGGGCCACCTCCTACCAGGCCTTGGGTGGAAAGCCAGCGCCAAGTGACCAGGACCCCCTGGAGAGGGGACCACGCATCCCCTCATGGACACCTCGTGGGGGGCAGGTAGGTAGAGGGCCCAAACCTGAAAGGCCTTGTTGGCACTTCAAGGCAAGCAGGGGCAAAGTCTCAGCCTCTCCCCAGGATGCAGCTCAGTTTCTTTGCAAACAAACCAAGGCCCCTGGTGGAATTCATTCATTCAGCATTTCTATAAGCATCCTAATAGAAGTTGAAATTTACTGAGTGCTTGCTAGGTGCCATTTACTCTTCACAACACCTTAGAACAATGCCTGGCACAGAGTAGGCCCTCAATTATTTGTTGAACAGACCCAAGAGGTTTGGAATTATTCTCCCGTTTCACAGAGGAGGACACTGAGGCTCCTGAGGCTCAGAGAAGTTCACTAAGCTGACTGAGGTCAGCTGCCAAGAAGTGGTGCTGACAGGCTTCACGCTGGGCAGTCTGACACGTGAATCCAGACTTTTCACCGACTTGCATCATGCAGGCTCTCAGAGTCCAGCAAAGCCAGCTTTTGCCCTTCCAACCTGAGCTTTCTTCACCCTTCTAACCGTAGCAACAGTGCCTTAGTTATCTAGTGCTGCTATAGCAAAAATACCACAAGTGGATGGCTTTAACAAACAGAAATTTATTCTCTCATAGTTTAGGCAGCTAGATGTCCAAATTCAGGGTGCCAGATCTAGGAAAAGGCTTTCTCTCTCTGTTGGTTCTAGGGGAAGGTCCTTGTCTCCTTTCAGCATCTGTGGGCCCCGTGTTTCTTGGAGATCTCTGTGTGTCCTGGCATAACAGGTTACAATTCAGGATCAGAAACGACTCAGGATACAGTTCAGTCAAGACAGCTTCTCAGCAATGCCCACAGGCAGGCCTCTCTCTCTCAGCCCAGCCTCTACCCTGCTCGGGCAAGTGTTACAAAGCTCTTCAGCCCCACTGATAAGTATTCAGAGGCACCCCACTCCGCCAGTAAGCCTCAGCCAAAGGCACTCAGTTCTCTTGCTCTGTGGGTTGGCACACCCACTGTGTCATCTTCTGCCTGTTTCTACTGTTTTCTTCCTGGTTCTACTGCTGCTGGTTCTCTGCTGCCATTTCTCACCATCTCCGGTGTTACAGCTGTCTGTCTTCTGGGTCTGGGAGGTTCTCAGCACTGGGACCCTGGGTCCAAAGGACAAGCTCTGCTCCTGGCTCTTCCTTCTTGGTAGTGGTGAGGTCCCCTGTCTCTGCTTGTTTCTCTCTCCCTTTATCTCTTGTAAGATAAAAAGTGTGACTTGAGTCACACTCTCTTGTAAGATGGTGACTCGAGATACACCCTACCCTAATCCTGCCTCATTAACATATAGAAGTTAGGATTTACAACACATCACAAAATGAAGGATAATTACATCAGATCATAAAATGGAGGACAACCACACAACACTGGGAATCATAGCCTAGCCAAGTTGGCCCATATTTTGGGGGGACACAATTCAATCCATAACAAATAGTGACTTACAGCCTCACTTCCTCTTTCCTCTGTTGCCCCTGCCAGACAGGGGCCAAGAGTGCATTTGACCAGAGTGCTCACCAGGCCACCGCAACATCTCAGTTACAGCCTTCCAGGACCCAGAGTCTCCAAACACACTGAGCCCCTTTTGCTGGGCAGCCACTAGTCCATAAGATACCTTTGTGCAGATTAGAGAAAAGTGCCCCTTCTGCTAGGCAGAGCTCCCACTAGGGGGCATGGCCACCTATCAGTTCCCACTTCTTCCTCAGCCCCAGGCACATTCACCATGGCCACCTTGTGCCCACCCCTCCCCCAGTATCATCACGTGCTGGCTTTTAGGAATCCACTTTGCCCACATTGCCAACGTCCCTACGCACTCTTGACTTGGCCAGGCCCTAACTTCAAGGGGCCCTTGGCCTGGGGGAAAAGACAGGCTATAGGCCTGCTTTAGAGACGAGGCAACTGACGAACGTCCAGAGTCCAGTGTGAGCACAGAGGGGCCCTTAACACAGCCTGGGATGTGAGCAGAGGGGTGGGAAGGCTTCCTGGAGGAGGCGGAAGTCCAAGCTCTCTTGACCTTTTCAGGGGCCGAGGAAACCCTGACCTTCAGGATAGGGAGGCTGCCAAGGGGGCTTGGACTAAGGGGCGATCCCAGTATTTGCGGGTTTCACCATAGTTGGATAATGATGGGACACTGCAGACTTGTTGAAGACCCCACCTGTGAACCACAGAAGCCCCTATCTTCCCCCATTTTGGAGGCTCCTTGTTTTTCCCGCAAGGATTCACTTGGAGGGTAAAGAACACTGGTTTGGGGGTTAGAACTCCCCAAAGTCAGTGAGAAGCCTACTCCACTGCTCAACTTGTCGCATGAAGGTGGGCACGCTAGGCTCCCTGGGCAGTTCCTGTTCTTATAATGGCGCTTCCAGCCCCGCCTCTTATGGAGAAGTTTCAGTAATGAAAGTGAGGGGCCACAATGCATAGCATATGGCTAATTTTCATAAACATTAAAACAGTTTAATAAATGCCCATTATTTCTTCAAATTTACTCTCACAGGTGGACTTTGAACTGACAGCAGCAAATCTAGAATCTTACAACTTCAGAATTGACAGTCCTGGGACTGTGGGCCATATAGGAGGGTTTGGGAGGCAGGCTGCATGTGTTAGTCACTGAAGGTCCCCCACCAGGAACAGCGACCAGCTGCGTGCTTGGGGGGCCAGGACCCCTGTAGGTGCGGGTGAAGGACTTCAGGACATAAAGGGGATGGCCCAGACTCCAATGCAGGGTGAGCCCTTAAGGATCACGACTTATATTAGAGTGAGCACTGCTCAAGGATGTCCCCTGCCTGGTCCCCTGTGGCACCCACTACCAAGCACGAGGTTTGGAAGACTCTCTGGGTCAATGTTTACCTGAGTATGAATTTTTGCAGCTTCTTGTGAGGATATAATTATTTCAGAGTAAAAATGTTTTAAAAGGGGTGTAGAGGTGAAAAAAGCATCCCAGGTATATGAACAGCTTTCAAGAGCCAATTGTTAGATTTTCAGGAATTTTGCCTGCTGGTTAAGCTCAGTCACTGTTAAAAATTAAATTATATTTACTTACAGTTAAATAAATCATACTAAAAACAAAGGCAATCCAAAAGAACATGAGGCTTCAGACCGGCCTAGGGCTCCAGGGACAAGGAAGATCAACAAAGGCAGCTGGGGCCACATGGCCTCAGATCAATGGCCCAGCATCAACCACACTTGGACGCTGTACCCTCCAGCATTTGGATGGACCTCTCTGGCAGTTTTTAAATAGTTTCTGGTGTACCTGGCAGGGTTGTTGTAGGAACAAAGTATCACCCGCTGATGTACTCAGGAAAGTGTCAGCCGAGCAAGCCTTGACAAATGTTCGTTTCATTTTATTCCGGCAAGTTCTTTGCTAGTTTCTCCTCCAGGGGCCTCTGGGTCGGTCGAGCCTTGCCCCTCCCTGACCTCTCTGTCCAGTTTTATTAGCCCTCCCTCCTCCCTCTCTGGTGGCTCCAGGTCACCCCCACCCCCACCCACTGCTCCCCACGCTACCAGACTAGGACCAGGCAGGCCACTCTGCAGTCCCCGGCCAAGTGATCCCTGGGGTGAACCTAGGGGCGCGCCTTCCCCCTCCTAGTCTGCAGCCCTCTCCTCAGCTCAGGCCCCCGCGGCCTCCCCAGCGCGGGGTCACTGCGCCACGTAACCCAAAGAGCGACCTCACCCTAAAGAAAGCAAACCCGCGGCCACTGCTGTTACCCGGTTCTCGAGCTTCCGGCTTCCAGGCTCGGCCATGTCCCTCGCGGCAGGACGCCCCCTCCCCGCTCCCGCAGCTGTCCCCTCCTCTCACCACCAACCTGCGGCGGCCAAAAGGAGGAGACTGGGGCACAGCTAACAGCCGTGGCCACTCGGCACCGCCGCTGCCCGCGCCTTCCACTGGCCGGGCCCGGGGGACGCGCGCGCCGCCGAGTCGGTTCCCCCGCCGCGCCGGTGCTGCCGAGCGCCCCCGGGAGCCCCTCCCGGGCGGAAAAGGCGCTGAGCGTGGAGGGGTGGCCTTGGGGGGAGCGGCCGGGCGACAAGCTGCCCGGAGTGGCGGCGGGTGCCCTCGGTCCCCCCTCCGGCGGCGGCGGGATGGTGTCGGCCGGCAGGGGAGCTGCGGGCTCCGGGTTTGAACAGGCCAACTTCTCCAGCGGGCAGAGCGAGCGCCAGGGCGGTGGCGAGAGCGAGTGAGTGCGGCGGTGGGGGCGGTGGCTAGCTGCGCGGGCCGCCCGGGATTGAGCCACCGGCCGAGCCACCTGTGGCCCGGGGAAGGGTTCCGGTGGCGAGAGCGAGGCGGAGTGCCGCGGTGCCCCGGGAACCCCTGACCCAGCTGGCACAGGTCACCGAACCGGGGCTGGACGCGGGCATTCCGGAGGCTGGTGAGCTCAGGCTCTTGAGAGGCCGCAGGAGGGTCTGCAAAAGGGCGCAGACCGGATGCATGGAGGGCCCCACCGAACCTTCCCTGCTATGCTCCTATGCCCTGTCCTCCCAGGAAAGGAGGTCTTAAACCCACGATGCCATCACTCCCCATCCTGGCCATCTTTTCACTGCTCTTTTCAGGAAGGATCCTGAGGACGAGTATTGCAGCTTCTGGGGGCAGGACTCTCCATCCCACAGCCAGCTCCCCCAGCTGGAGCCCTCGGAAGCTCTTTTCCCACCCCCTTCAGCTGCAGGGCCCAGGCCTGGTGGGAGGGGTGGAGCTGGCCTTCCCTAGGGAACCTGCAGACCTATCCCACTGCATGCCCCGTGTTCCCTGGGTTGCTATAATCACGACACCCTAGGGGAGTGTGGTTGGAAAAACAGGGCCCCAGCTTCTCCTCCCAGGCCCCACCCCACTGCACACAGCCGCCCTCATCCCCATCTCTCTTTCCTGGTTCTCAACCGTGCCAGGTGACACGCAGAGCTGAAAACATGGTTCAGCAGGTGCTCTACCGGGCACTGGTCTCCGCCAAGTGGCTGGCAGAATCGGTCCGGGCTGGCAAGCTGGGGCCTGGCCTTCGGGTGCTGGATGCATCCTGGTACTCACCGGGCACCCGTGATGCTCGCAAGGAGTACCTGGAGCGCCACGTGCCTGGTGCCTCCTTCTTTGATATCGAGGAGTGCCGGGACACGGCTTCGCCCTATGAGATGATGCTGCCTAGTGAGGAACGCTTCGCCGACTATGTGGGGCACCTGGGCATCAGCAACAGCACGCACGTGGTGATATATGATGGTGACCACCTGGGCACCTTCTACGCGCCCAGGGCCTGGTGGATGTTCCGTGTGTTTGGCCACCGAACCGTGTCAGTGCTCAATGGTGGCTTCCGGAACTGGCTGAAGGAGGGCCACCCAGTGACATCCGAGCCCTCACGCCCAGAGCCGGCTGTCTTCAAAGCCACACTGAACCCTTCCTTGCTCAAGACCTACGAGCAGGTGCTGGAGAACCTCAAATCTAAGAGATTCCAGCTGGTGGATTCACGGTCCCAAGGGCGCTACCTGGGTACCGAGCCAGAGCCGGATATAGAAGGTAGGTTGTGCAGGTGGGTAGGTGGTCCCGGGGGAGCACTACCCAATGGAAGGAGCACCATCGATGGGCAGTGAGGATGACTGGGGTGCTCTCCACATGTGGGTCTCAGTCTTTCCATCAGTAAAATGAGAGTGTGGAGCCAAACCAAAGGCTTTTTCAGCTCTGATGCATGAGGACCTACATACTTGCCCCCATAGCCGCATGCCAACAAATGACCCAGGATGTGTGTAGGGTGGCATCGGCAGAGGTAACAGGTGACATGTCCACCCACATTCACTCCCAGGCACCCTAGATTGTACCAAAGGGCGTCACACCCATGAGCCAACACATGTATCGCTGTACAGAGGCCTCCCAAGGGCACACTCAACTTCTCAGGGCACCTCTAGTTCCCCAGAAACTCTTAGAGACTCTAACCAGTGCCCTCCCTTAGCTCCCCCTCTCTCCGTCGTCTAGCTCACCTGGGCCACTGACTGGTGTTTGCAAAGGAGCTAGGGTGATAACTTTCCAAACAACGCAGCCCATCTGCAGAGCTGTAACAGCAGCTCCCATTGCATGCTAAGCCCTGGATGCTCTATTTTCTCATCTGATGAGGCTCAACACCCCCATTTTAGAGGGGAGTTTCCTGAGGTGCCAGGAAACTTAGTTGCTTGCTCAAAAAGTGGCAGAGTCGGATCTGAACTCAGCGCCGCTGCCTGCTTTCAAAGCTTGTGCTTTAAACCGGGATGCAAAACCACCTCTGCCCCATCCCCAAGGGTCAGGAGGCAATCTCCTCCACTAGGCACCCCCAGGCTCTTGACTCCTCGCCTGTGAATGACGGGAGACTGAGAGGGTTCTACACTGCTGGGGGAGAGCACCAGGAGAGGCGAGACTGAACTCTAGAACCTGTGAACCAGAGAGAACCACGAGGCCCTGCCTTTCCTAGGCTCAGGACCTGTCTTCTTGCCATCACTCCTGCTGGGCTCCCTGCAGCCCCTGACTGAACATCTCCCTAAATCTCTCTGGACCTGGGCCTGAGGCTGAAGGGTGGCCCCGCACCACGGAGATGGTCGCTCTTTCCTCACTCAGAGCCCTTCCTTGCGGAAGCTGGCTCCTGTGCAACATCTTGCCTAACTTGTTGAAAAATGTCTCTTCCTTCCTGTGCCTGCTGTGAATGCCATGAAAGATGTTTCATATGTTCTTAGAGCTAGAGGTCCTAAAAGGTCATATCATAGGGCAGAGGGGAGACCGAGGCACGCAGAGGAAGAGGCGGGTCAAGGCCACGCAGCTGGTTAGTGGCAGAGCCAGAAGAGCTAAGGACTTTGCCCTACCTGCAGGGCTTTGCCCTGGTTTCCAGTTTTTGTCCTGCTTGCTCTCTGAAGGCCTGGTGTTAAAGAGTCAGGTTCGTTTGGAACCTTCCAAAAACTTTTGGCCCAGAATGTCTGGAGCCCCCTCCTGGCCTTGGTTCAAGATGTGTTCTCTCCTTGGGACTTAAGCTGCCACTGGAGGGAGGGATGGTGGAGTTGGTGTTCTAGCTACTTCCCAAACCGCCCAGAAGCAAACCAAGAAAAAAGCGAAAGGGAGAATTTGGGATTGACAGGTTCAGTCTCCTCACTCCCATTTTACAGACGAGGAAACTGAGGCTCAGAGAGGGGAAACAGCCTGCTGTGGGCAATGCCTCCTGAAGCCCTGGATTTTAAAGTTCCACCCCCTCTCTGTGGCCCTACTCCCACCTCCTCTAGTTCCCATCTGGGGCACCAGGGTGCATGGAGTCTAATTTGAGCTCAGCCACTCCTCTGTGGTGTGACTGCAATCCAGTTGCTTGTCTCTCGGGCTCTCTCGTTATAAAATGAGAAGAATATTATCAGCCCTACCCACCTTCCCTGGGTATGTGTTTACTGAACTGCAGCAGTGGCTGGAGAGGGAATTTGGCAGTGTGAAGAGCTGCACGGTGTCAGGGTCATCTGGAAAGACAGAGTGGGTGGCACTTCCCTCCCTCAAAGTTCACGGTTCCCAGCTTAGGGTGGGATTGGGGAGCCTCTGGTGGGTTCGGCAATCCGAATGTAATGCACAGGGGCGTGTGAGTGGGTACGGGATTTGGCCTAGACCTTGTATAGGCAACTTCCCCTGGCCTCAATTCTATACCTGCAAATGCCTCTAGTCCTGTTTGCATGGGACACAGGGTGGGAGTCAGACCTGGGTTTACATTCCTGGTTGGTCCCTGGGTGACGCAAACAGTTTGTGGTTGACTGCTAACCTAAAGGTTGGTGGTTCGAACCCACCCAGCAGTGCCATGGAAGAAAGGCCTGGCGATCTTCTATAAATATTATAGCCAAGAAAACCCTGTGGAGCAGTTCTACTCTGTCACACCTGGTGTTGCCATGAGTCAGAATCGATTCGATGGTTTGGTTTTGTGCCACTTTCATGTGGCCTCAAGTCCCTTCACCTCTGAACTGCTCTCAGTGAAGGGAACCCTGCTCGCCTATAGAGCGTGGGGGCGGGGGGCTGGGTACTGGTGGGGAACGAGAGAACAGGTGCAGGAGTTTTTTTGGCCCCATGTCTTTATAAATGTTATTCTGTTTTCCTCCCTCCCTTGAGGGGTGAGAATGAAGAGGGAGGATATTGACCCCTAATGAGCCCTTTTTGCGGAACCCTTTACAGTAGCCTTTGAGGGGAGAAAGCCAGGGTTAGGACTGGTCCTACTTTGCAGGTAGAGAAACCGAAAAGAGACTTCTAGAACGAGGCAGAATGGCCGAGACTTGACCCCAGCTTGGCAGGCTTCAAAGTGGGGTGTTTCCCAAGGCCAGTGCTGTGGGTCGGGTGAACCTGTGCAAACACAGGTGCTGGGGAAAGGTCACAGTCCTGTCTCTCCCCGCACCCCCCTCCCCCCCCCCCCGCCCCACCGGCTCTCCCTCCCAGGCTGGGGGCTGGGCCGGAGAGTGCTGGGCTAGGAGGAAGGCCAGAAAGGGCCAAACAAGTTTTCCTGGCTTTGCAAATCAACATCTGCCAGTGGGCTGAGGGGTATTAACTCACCACCTTGCCTTGATGGGCATCTTCTGACCAAAGCAGGAGCAAAAAGTTCAGACTTTCTGAGCATGAGCAGCAGAGGACCACGAGAGGTCATCTCATCCATTCCCTTTCTCAGCTTCCTTTGCCAGAGAGGCCCAGGGGGGCAGAGAACACAGGCTTGGACGACCTGATTCACCTCACACACGCTTACTGTGTGCCCTGGGGCAGGTTACCTCCTTTCTCTGAGCCTGGGATCCCCATTAGTGTGAGAAGGATAATCTCCCCACTTTGTGAGGACTGAAGGAGATAAAGTTCTTGGAAGAACCTGGTGCCAGGACGCCTGATACTAGCGGTTATGCCTGGTGGGGGAAGGAAAGCCACATGTGAGAGGCCGGACTTGGGAGAGGAGAAGCAAGGAGCCCTGCTTCTTGGCCAGTGTGCCTTTCCCCTAGCTGGGTCTCCCCCAGGCTTCTCTGGTCGAGGCTCATTCCTTCCCGGCTGCACACAGGCCATCAGTTCCTGCTCATTTAAATTCCCCAGAGACCCTGGGCCTTCGCTGGGTGCTCAGCCAGGGCCACTGAGATGAAAAGGAGGCAACCCCGCCTCCTAAGGGGGAACCTCCCAAGGACTGGAAATCCCCCTAACTGTGCTTGCATATTAATTCAAATGTAAATAGAAGAGGTGCTGTTTATATAATCAGAAGAAAACAATGACGCTGTTTCATGGGGGTGGGGAGAGAAACAAAACAGCATTCAAAATTCGACATGCCCCAGCTGATAAAAGCACTTCAATCCATTCCACTGCCTGGAGGCTGAAAACATTTTCACATGGAAACCAGCAGAGGAATACCCCCGAATCCAACAGATGGACTCTTTTGGTAGGGTCAGCGCACATAGGATTAAAGTTTCAGACAAAAAGATGAAACCACAACAGGAAGAAATTGCTATAATTTTAGCAATTGGGACATCTGTTCTAGCGAGGAAACCCTGGTGGCATAGTGGTTAAGTGCTACAGCTGCTAACCAAAAGGTTGGCAGTTTGAATCCACCAGGTGCTCCTTGGAAACTCTATGGGGCAGTTCTACTCTGTCCTATAGGGTCATTATGAGTCAGAATTGACTTGATGGCAGTGGGTTTGGTTTTGGTTCTAGTGAAGGAACTCTTGACTGAGAGAATTTTGGGAGCCTCTTTGACTGTGGCGAGAGGGGACTGGGATGTTAGTGCTGCTAGGTGCTTCTACCGACAGTAGCTAAACTTCCTGACTACCCTGTGACATAGGTGGGGTTATCCCCTCTTTTCACTTATGGGAACTCTGATGATCAGAGGTGCTGAGGCTGCCTGGCTCTGCATTGCCCCACACTGACCCACGCTGCCTCAGCCATACTGGTGAGGCTCTCCCTCCCACTCTCACCTTTTGGGTGGATTCAGTGGGGTGGTGAGGACTTTTGGAGGAAGGTGTTAAAAATAATTAAAACCCAACAAAATTTGAACGTAAGGTTTATTCTGAGCAGTTATTCTATAGAATGTAACCAAAAAAACAAGCCCGTCGCTGTTGAGTTGAGATGCCTGGCAATCTACTTCCCACTGGTCACAACCTTGAAAACCCTGGGGAGTGCAGTTCTACTCTGGAGTCGCCATAAGTAGGAGTCAACTCCATGGGGATTGGTGTTTTGTTTTTTTACACACTTTCTGCAGCAGCCAATGCTTTCCATGTGTTATTTGCACCTTATTATAGCCCTTACACAGGTGAGTATTCTAATTCCCATTTTACCTATGGGGAAAACCCCCATTAACAAAACCCACTGCCATCAAGTCCATTCCGACTCATAGCGACCCTATAAAACAGAATAGAACTCCCTATAGGGTTTCCAAGGCTGTAATCTTTTGTGGAAGCAGACTACCACATATTTCTCCCAAGGAGTGGCTGGTGTGTTTGAACCACCAACCTTTTGGTAAGCAGCTGACTGTTTAACTACTGAGCCACCAGCGCTCCTCCTGATGGGGAAACGGAGGCTCAGAGAGGTGGTGTAACTTGCTTAAGGCCACCCAGCTGGTAAGTGGCAGAGCTGGAACTTGAATTTACCTGGAACAACAGGTCACATGCTCTTTCCACAACCATATGCTTAACTGGGAAACCAGGGGATGTGGTGCAAGCCTGGGTTTGCCTTTAACTCTGCCTGGCCCTAGGTGAACCATTTCATTTCACACAGCCTATAAAATGGAGTGGTGTTGTATTTAATAAATTATGTGGTTATCTGCTCAACATCTATCTTCTTTGTTAGACTGTAATCTCCTAGAAGGCCTGGAATGTGTCTCTCTCACTACTGTGTTCTCTGCAACTGCCACAACACGTAGCATTCTCATTAATCATCTCATTTGCTCCTCTCAACAAGCCTTTGAGATAGGTATGTACCACTGAGCCCATTTTACAGCTGAGAAAACTGAGGTTCGGAGAAATGAAAGTGTTTGCCCAACGTAAACAGCTAATAAATGGTGGAGCTGAGACTCATATCCCTGTCTACCGCAGCATTCCTTCTTCAAGACAGATTTTGGGGGGGTCAGGTGTCTCAAGTCATGAACATCGAATGTAGGCAGGGCTGGGAATATATTGAGCTCCAAACAGGACACAGAAGTTATTTTTTTTTGCAAAGCTCTCTATCCTTAAAGCCATGCTGGTTGCAGCCTGCAGGTGCCACTTGGCACCTATGCTGCCCCTAACACTGTCCTTCCCTGCATCCTCTGCTCCCTCTCCAGGACTTGGCTCAGGCCACATCCGTGGCGCCATCAACATGCCGTTCATGGACTTCCTGACGGAAGAAGGCTTTGAGAAGAGCCCTGAGGAGCTCCGTGCCATGTTTGAGGACAAGAAGGTGGACCTCGCGCAACCCCTCATTGCTACCTGCCGGAAGGGCGTCACTGCCTGCCACATTGCTCTGGCCGCCTACCTCTGCGGCAAGCCTGATGTGGCTGTCTATGATGGCTCCTGGTCTGAGTGGTTCCGCCGGGCCCCCCCGGAGACCCGTGTGTCCCAGCAGAAGGCTGAGAAGGCCTGAGCAGGGCCCCCTCCGCTCACCTGCTGTAACTCTGGTGAGTTTAGTGGTGAGCTTAGTGACCCTGGCATGCCCTGCAGCTGGTCTGTACCTCTCTGGTGAAGGAGATTGACAAGTTTTAAAACTTGCTGTGTAAAACTCTCCTTTTCCCCAATAACACTGGAATAAAACCTACCTTTTCTGAGAAACTATGTTTGTCTGCATCTCCCTGGGTTCCATCCTTGTCCCATACTTCCATCTCCTTTAGGCTTCTTCGACTCCACCAAGGAAAGGAACCCTGCATAGTGACCTCCAACTGCGCCCCATGAGGACACCCACTTTCCTATGTAATTCGGGTAAAGAAAGATGTCTGTTGTCCCATGTCAGGTGGACTCCATGCGCCCCCCTGCCCCCGCCCCCGCCCCCGCCCCGGCCGGAGCATGCTGAAACCTCACTGGTGGGCTAGCTAGGAGGAGGTGTCAGAAGCCTGAGAGAGATGAAAACAGCGTTAGCCAGGGCACTGACCCTTCCTGCCCAATGCCCTAGGGGACTAGAGGACAACTGGCCTTCCAAGTGAGTGTCCAAAGAGGTGTAACATAGGCCTTAGGGCCTCTCAGAAGAGGCAAAAAGTAGGTGGCTGCCTGCCTTGAGTGCCCTTCCCAACTCAGAATAAGCCCCAGTGTGGAACGATGAGGGGAGGGCCTGGGGAAGCAGCTCCAGCCTCCTGGGAGAAAGGTCTTAGTGCTCTGGCACTGTGAATCAGGAAGCTACAGTGGAAGAAAGTAGTCTGGTAGACAGGACCAACATGGCTGAATTTTGAGTTTCCCAGAAACAGACTCTCTTAAAACTCTTTTGAGGTTGTGTGGTCGATTGAATTGTGTCTTCCAAAAATAGGTGCTGCAAATCCTAACCCCTCTACTTGCGGAGGAGCCCTGGTGGTGTGGTGGGTTAAGAGCTTGGCTGCTAACCAAAAGGTTGGTGGTTCAAATCCAGCAGCCACTCCCTGGAAACCCTACAGGGCAGTTCTACTCTGTCCTACCCTGTCCTATAGGGTCACCTTGGAACTGATGATGGGACAGCATTAACAATAACAGCAAATACTTGCTGATGTAATCCCATTTGGGAATAGGGGTTTCTTTGTTATGTTAATAAGGCCATATCAACGTAAAAACCAAAATCAAACCCACTGCCATCCAGTCGATTCCGACTCATAGTAACCCTATAGGACAGAATAAAACTGCCCGATAGTGTTTGCAAGTTTATAAATCTTTACAGAAGCTGACTGCCACATCTTTCTTCCGTGGAGCACTGGTGGGTTCAAACTGCCAACCTTTTGGTTAGCAGCTGAGTGCTTTAACTGCTGTGCCACCAGGGCTTGCTTATATTATGTGTTTTAAAGCCAATCCCCATTTGAGATATAAAAAGTGCAGATGAGGCACAGAGAAGGAAGTACAAACCGAGGGGACGATAAACACCACATGAAGATCGCCAAGGAGCCAAGGAACAGAAGCTAAAAATCAACAAGGACTTTCCCCTATAGTTGACAGAAAGAGAAAGCCTTCCCCTAGAGCTGGCGCCCTGAATTCAGATGTCTAGCTTCCTAAACTGTGAGAAACTAAATTTCTGTTCATTAAAGCCAACGGCTTGTGGTGTTTCTGTTATAGCAGCACTAAGAAACTAAGACAAGCTGCAAGATAAATTTCAGGCCCCACCTACTGGGGATTTCTGGCTCTCTGCTGTCCAGGCTGCCAGAGGTAAGACAGGTCCTGGAAGGCCAGGGACCAAGTCTGTCACTCATATAACCCAGCCGCTAGGTCGGCTGAAGAGACTTCCTTGGTGGCTGGGGATTTGGGTGGTGGGACTGAAGGTTGAGATACCTGGGGTCCTCAGTGGAGCAGGGAAAGGGCAGTCTGGATGACTGACACCTCCCACATCCATACAGTCCTTCTCACATCAGCTTTAGGTCCCTTATGAGAGCCTTGAATAAGCATGGAGAGATGAGCCAGAGAGCCAGCCTCAGGGAATACTGATGACACCACTTCCTCTTCCTTTTCCTCCTCTACCAATCCTAAAGTTCATTCAGTCAACACGTTTCTTGAGCACCTACTGTGAGTCAGGCACTGTTCCAGGTGCTGGGGACACAGCAGTGAACAAAACAATCCACCTCCTGTTAATGTTGAAGTTTACCTGGACCCTGTGATACTGGAAAAGAGCGATGGTTAACAAGATCCGCCCCCCCCCCACCTTGGTGTCTTAGTTACTGTCAGGTGCAGAAAGCAATTTGGCCTTTTGTTCTGAGTTAGTGAGAGCAGACTACACCTGAGGCTAATAAATGGTGGCTGACCAGACCAAAAGGGACTGCCTGGGGGCCGAATGCTGACTAAGCCTCATGAGGCATGACGTAATCTATCATGGCAATGTGGTGAGGCTGATAAAAGTCCTGAGCCCTGTGGCTCAGGTGTAGCTTCCTGGTTGGTAAGAGTGAACTTGCTCTTGGGAGGGTTAGCCTGTCCCCTTGGGACATGGAAGCTCTGCACTGGGGCCCCTCCCAGGTCTTGCCCTATGCATCTTTTTGTTTATATCCTTTTTTGTTATATTAAAGCTGTTATCGCAGGTATGGTGTTTCCTGTGAACTCAGTGAGTCATTCCAGTGAATTACAGGACCCAAATGAGTAGTAGAGGCTGGCTGATCTGAAGTAGAGGGAGCCATGTGGACACTTGCACTTGTAGCTGGTACCCTAAGGGGGTAGAGGAAAACCCCACATTTAGGGCCAGTTGGTCTCAAGTGGAGAGAGTTATGTGGACTCCCAAGCTTGTGGCTGGTACCTGCTGACTTGCCCTGGGTGGCTAGGGATGACAGAAGGTGTCATGGATTGAATTGTGTCCCCCCAAAATATCTGTCACCTTGGCTGGGTCATAATTCCCAGTACTGTATGATTGTGTACCATTTTGTAAATCTAATGTGATTTCCTTATGTGTTGTAAACTGTTTCACTATGATGAGGTTATATGTGATTACCTTATGTGTTGTACACTCTATCACTATGATGAGGTTATACTGATGAAGTTTACAAGATTAGATAGTGTGGAGGTATAAAAGATAGAAAAGAGAGAAGCGAGCAGAGACACATGGGAATCTCATACCACCAAGAAAGCAATGCCAGGAGCAGAGCGCGTCCTATGGACCTGAGGTTCCTGCACTGAGATGCTCCCAGACCAAGGGAAGACTGATACATCACAAGGACCTTCCTCTAGAGCTGACAGAGAGAGAAAGCCTTCTCCTGGAGCTGCTGCCCTGAATTTGGACTTGTAGCCTACTGGACTATGAGAGAATAAACTTCTCTTTGTTAAAGCCAGCCTCTTGTGGTATTTCTGTTAGAGCAGCACTAGATGACCAAGACAGAAGGGTTGCCATGTGCAATTGGAGTCTCAACTGAACAGAGAAGGGAAGGTAAGATTTCCATATGATGCAACTGGCACGTGAGTGGGCTTTGTTATCCGCCAGACAATTTGGCATCAGAAGTGGGTGATCTTAGTCTCGCTGGACAGGTTTGCATAATGGGTATAGTTGGCAGGATTCACTAGAGAATAGAGACTTTACAGTTACCTAATGCTGCTGCAACAGAAATACCACAAGTGGGTGACTTTAAAAAACAGAAATTTACTTTCTCAGAGTTCAGAAGGCTAAAAGTCTGAATCAGGGCTTTGAAAAGTTTCTTTCCAGTTTGACCCCCTGCTGAGACTTTCCATTTCCACCCAGATAGAAGGAATCAGAATCTACATTTTAACAATCCCCCCACCCCCCCCACAATCCTCGTATGTGTCTCTATGTCTGTTCTGCTCCCTTTATAACTCAGAGATGATTAGGTTTAGGGCCCACCCTACTCTGGCATGGCCTCATTAGCAAACAAAACAAAAGAAAACTCCTGTTTCCAAACAGAGTCACATTTGCAGGTACAGGGGTTAGGATTTCAACACATATTTTTGGGGGACACAATTCAATCCATAACACTTGGTGTTCAGGAATACAGCTTTCTATAAATAACCACCCCTTCCATATGACTCAAGTAAGACTCTCAGATGCCTCCTTGTTTTCCCTATGGCAAGGTCAGACACAGATGCTCCAAATTCCCATTCTTTGTTTCATAAGTAAGTAACTGAATTGCTTGTCCCCACTGATTGATCAGAAACCAAGTGTTTGCAAACTGAACTTTGGTTAAGCTTCTCTCCTTCCCCCAAGTCCCTGAACTTTGGCCCAGCTTCACCCCTGTTTAAGGGCCCCTCCTGGAGAATAGGTTGACCTCAGTGTAAAACATTCTGATTTACTGTTCATTGACATCACCCTTTGATCCCACTTCCCCACACCTGGATTTTTTCTAACCTTGTTTATGCTCAGTCTCTATAGAAGAAAATGCCTTTTCCCTAACTCTTTGAGACCCTTGCAGATCTGATGGTCAGAGTGTTCTCCCGATTATAGCAGTGCCTGCCCCTCCACTATTATAGTGGTCTCCTTCCTTTTTCCCCTTTTCTTTCTGAATAAAGCTTTTCCCTATCACAGTCTGGATTTGTTTTTTATTTGGTGGTTAATGGTGCTGTGACTCGAATGGAGGGCTGACTGCCCCTCACACCCCATTGTCTTTACCCAGTTAATCATGCCAGTTTCTCAGACCCTTTGTGTCCTTTCCTGGATGGGGAAATTGGGATCCACAGTGGTGAGTCACAACTCCTAATCCATTGGTCTGTAGAAGCCCAACAGGGGGTTACTTTAAGTCTATTCAGTGGGTCTCTGCCAAGTTCATTTCTGTCTCAGCAGGACTCTTCCTGGATCTTTTCTGTTTCATCAGGACTTGCTCTGGCTCTTTTCTTGTGAGGCCACATGGTCTTTCCTGCCTTCTTGTCCAGGGATTGCACAGAGCTAGCCCTTTAGCATAAGGAACCCCTTTGGTTCTGATGGGGATTGTGCAAGCAGCTTATCTTTTTGTATCTGGCTCCTTTTTCTATTTGATTCTGTTCTTCCCATCCCATGGGTTACTCTCAATCTTCTGGGTGTCCCCTTCCTCCTCCTTTTCTCTTACTGACTTTATGCTCTAACGGTATGGCACTCTTTCTGCCCAGTATCTCAAAACATGGGAACATTTTACTAAAGGTAGTTTAAAACTTTAATACCCTCTTTGAGAACCTTGAGATCTCCCCAACTGG